CAAATTTGGCACAGTTTTGAAGCAGTTTCATGGTACTCGAAAAGTGGAAACTTGCTCCCAGAATATCATGTTTTAGGTCTTCTAACTTTTCGTTTACTATATTTATATGACTGGCCTCCACATCCCATCTCCACCTCCCACATAGTTCCTATATCCTTTGCCAAATTTTAGGACTAAATGTACATTGTGTTTTTTTCTCTCAACAAGCTGCTATGGCTATCAGCAGTAGAAATAGAAGTCAAATAAGGAAATAACGATTAGAGCAAATGAAGAGTTCCAATAGTTACTCTTCAGAAAAGCTAAAGGAAGAATATATAAGCATAAATCACTTCTTTGGAGTTGCTTTCTCCAAATATTTATAAGTAAAATAATTTCATTCAAACACTGAATAGGAGTTTGAGGAAAGTTCAGTTTGTCTGATGAAATCCAAAGGAATAAAGTACCAAAAACTAATAATTGCCAGTACTTACTCTAGGCTGAGGGACAAAATATTCAGGCAGAACACATTTGGATCTTTATCACCAGCCTTTAGTTTGTCTGGAACCAGCATTTGTTCTGATTAGATGATGCCAATACGTATGGATTACTAAGTGTTTTGAATGGGACCCCTGGCTGGCATTCCTACAGCTATTTCATTTAATCCTTAGTACAAGCCATTGAAGTAAGCGTCACCATTCCAATATACAGAGGGAGGAACCACGAAATGAGGGAGAACATTCATATCCACACCAGTTTGAGGATCTTTCCTATAGGGTCCACTCTTAATTCTAATCAAGAACAGGGCTATCCCTTTGTTATCTTTGTACTCTCCTGTCTGGAAGAGTCCTGCCACAGATTTGGTGTTCAAAAAAAGTGGTTTGCCCAAATAAATTGAATGGATGGTTGTTCACTTTGATTGGAATGCAGAATATCTCACTTGCTGCCCAAGTTCCACGTGGGACCCAACTCAGGATTTAACAGTCACATCTTCCATTCCAGCTGACAGCTGTAAGAATTCGAGGGTTCCACCATGTTTATGCCAGCAATAAATGCAATTGCAGAAAATGTACTTACAATAATCTTTCTCCTCATTACACAGTAATTTCTTCTCTGAAAAGTTCCAGAACTCCACCTCTAGTGAATGTGATGCAAATAAATATTTAAGTATAAATATTTTCATGTATTTTTAATATTAAGAAGTGATAAAATACCCAACAATGGGAGAATAGCATTCTGAATCACAGCAGAGTCCTTTAACGAAAAGATCTGCAATCATTATGAATCATTTTCTGATCAATTTGTGACTCTGTATTAAATAAACTTTCTGTTGAAGTAGAACATACAGAACAGAAAGACACCAATTTTAAGAGTGCACCTTGAAGATTTAGAAAAATTACATCTGCAACCGCCATCCAAGTCAAGAAATAAATGACTTACATTACTTAGAAACTACTTTATTCTCATCTAAACACTATCTTCTTTCACCTCAGAGATATCCACTTTTCTTGACTTTACATTGGATATGGGGACACTCCTATAATTGCATAAGTGAGAAAGGATGGAACAAATAGAATGTGCAGTATTCTTCCAATTGTGTTGTTATTGGTGTATAACTGAACATCCAGGGAAATACTAGGAGAAAATAACCAAAATGTTTGTAGCGGTTATATCTTAGCAATCAGATTAGGGGTGATTTTTATTTTCTTCCTTCTTCACAGAAAACATATATTATCCTAATAAATAATTAGGGACAAATATTAGGGAAAATATATTATTGTCAATTGTAAACATTATTTTTCATATTTGTCAGGAGCTGGCATTAAATTTCCAAATAATTTCTAAAATATGGAAGAACTTAAAAGGTTGCCTAGGAAGTCAAACTATTACACATGATGATATTTAAAACAGTACATCGCCTATTAGAACATGGCCAATTATCATATGCTTTTGGTTACACCATGGACACCAATTACTGAGAACCCTAAGTATATACCAGAAACCACAAATGGTCTGGTTAACTCTCCTAGCCAGTGTGAATTCTGCTCTGCTGCCAGCATAAACCTTACAAGGTTCCCATTATGTTAGCTTTGTCATGTTCCAGAGAATTTCCTTCCCACCCTCATCGCTCTGTTTGGAAAAGAAAGAGCAAAGAATGATGCTGGCGTTTATAAAGTCAGAGTAGCAGAAACTGTACCAACAAAGCAGCACAAAGTTCTGGAAACAGATCTAGAGTTCTCGGAATCTGCCAGGGTCCAGGGGTGTGTAGACAGCATTTTCTGCATCTTGCTTAAAATGACCAGGAAAGAGAATTGTATCTGTTACTTTTGTTTCTACAGAAGTCAGGTAATATACTGGTGTGGGGGTAGAGATGTGGAGAAAGATTTAGTTTTCCAATAAGCCTAAATACACAATCAAGATTAGCTGGATTCTTTCTCATTCCACCCTTCCTCCTAATATTTCTTTCATCAATCGTGTATTTATTTTGAAAACAGATTAGAATTTACTATACAACAGGGATATATGAGACCTAGAGGGAATAAAACAAGAACTAAATAGAAAACAAATGAAAAGGAATTCAACTAAAGGAATTCACAGTATGATTTATCTCGGAGAGAAGCTGAAAACCTTTCCTAATCAGAAAAACTTCCCTCTTAAGAAGTCAGTTTTCCCCCAAGGACCTGGAAAAAGGAACAAATATTTGAATTACTGATGATAAACCCTAGTCTTCTGTCCAAGCAGAGGACCTGACTCTGCTCTGCACTGTGGAGAATATTCTAGATTAGGTTGCTGAGAAATTGCAAACTGAGGGAAGGGAGTGGAAACTGTTAAGAGCCACTATGGCTCAAACTTCATAAATAGTAATGAAGTTTGTGAATTTTAGGCCCAAACTGTTCTTTATTGTCCAGGAAGATACTATTTTTCCTGGAAAGAAAAGCCCAGGACAGTGGAATGTCTAAAACTCTCTGCTGTAATAGCCAGACCATAGAATTTAGTGGCCAGCAGTGACCCAAAGAGGTAATTTTTCAAATCCTGACATTTATTTAATGCCTTTAGTATGGTTATGTAAAAGTATTTCACATACACGCTATTAATATTTAGGTGCCAGGTGGCTGCTATGCATAGTGGTTTGTTATTTATGAGTCTGTTTCTTCTGGTTCACAGGGAGATGAGTGACTGCCATTGACCTGAGAAGGATTCTTTTAACATCACCCATTAATTTCTTCAGAGAAAGAATAACATTACTTTAGAGCTTGGCAGTAGTGCAAAATATACTAATATACTCGTCCATGGGTCAAGAGAATTGCATTGCAGTTGTGCATTTGTAGCCAGTAAGGCCTGTAAGCTTTTGTGTTTGCTTAGTATCTCTGTGACTCAGTTTCTTCATCTGTCAAATGGAAACGTTAATAACTTTTTTCCTAAGACCATGCATCACATACCTATGTGGCTGCTTTGAAAATAGAAAATGCTTAGAATTCGTTTTCTCCCTCCCATGAAGGATCTCAGTTCCTTTATCTGAAAAATCAGTGGGTTAAGTATGGAATGTCAAATAATTTTATTTCATGTTCAGATGAAATGAAGTGCCTTATCATTTCATACAGTATAGATCCATAGAGTGCATCTTGAAAAGAATTTGAAACTCAGTGTAGAAATATCATGAAGTGCTGGATAGATTATTCATGCCTGCCTTGGATAAAGAAGGAAAAGTGGCTGCACATGTGCTGTTTCGCTGCCCTCCTGCATACAAAAGTCTCTAGCTCTGAACTTGGCCTATGTGTTTATGAACTATCTTGGGCTGAATTAAGGGAACCTAAGTAGGACCTTTGTTACTAGATCTTTAAAGTGTTCCTAATAAAATTTGAACACAGCCTGGCAATTTCCCGACTTAGCTTAGGGACTTTTATTCACAGACATTGCACAGAAGCTTGTCTTGCCAACTTTTGGCCGGTGAAGCTCTAATTCAAAAGCTGGTATTTGAATATTTGCCAGTAAAAACAACTCGATGGAGTTTTATTACCTTATATATTCCCAAAGGAGTCATGATAAGATCTCTGCTTATCTTATTTCTTTCAACCATTCCACTCACCTTACTTCACTCTTCTGAATTTCATGGCAGGAAGACAGGGAACACTATGGTTGGAAGAAATGAGATGTAGTCAACAATTCGATTGTTAAGAAATATACCTAAGAAAGTAATTTCAGAAATTAAATGTATAATTAAGATACATTAAATGTATTTATCAAGACCAATTTTCAAAATATTAAGTTCTATTTTCAGGTTTTTTTCACTTTTATGTAAAAACCAACAAATATTTTGAGGACATCATTTCTAATTGCCCCCAAGTCTCACAAACTTAACAAAACAGTTATGATTGGGATTTATTTCATTCTAACTTTCATGTATATGCATATATACAGGTACTTTTAATGGTTGTAAATATAAAATACACATATCATTTTACATTCTAATCATTCATACAGAATTATATTACAAATATTTTCCCCTATTGTCCATTTTCATTATAAACAGAAGAGGCCATGTTAATTGCAGCATAGTATGTCATTGATGTTTGGACCATTACTGATTAGTCATTTATTTCTAATAGGATTTTTATATTGTCAAAGCTATATTAGATTTACTTAGATTTGCTCAACACATTTCATTTTTTTTTCTCCCCCTTTCCTCCCCAATTACACACATTTCAACATGGAAGTCTACACAGATTGACAACCTTTTCCTACTGTTCTACTGGAGAAAAATATTTTGTATTAAAAAAAAAAAAAGGTCCACAGTCCACCGTTCATTTTTTTTTTTAAAAAAGGAGTGAGAATATCTATTAGCTGAATATTTTAAATAGGCTACATTTTAAAATAAATGGAGTTTTTATTGCTTCCAAATATGGAATTTGAATAATACAATGAATATAATGATGTTCTTTAAAACATTGCACATAAAATAATGACACGGTGATATCTGAAATATTCATCATTATCTTATTTTTGTCAAAAACAGAACAGCCAACACGTCTTCGTACCTCTATGGAAATGAACCTCCACTCAGCATGCATGGAAAATTAGTGAAATGAGGTCACCAGGGCTCTGTTAATGTAAGTGGACAAAGAACCTGTTAGGTAAAAAAAATAAATAAATAAGACTTAGAATATTGTTGAGAAGTATAATAGCCTGGTTTCTAAGTGAGATAGCATGGGTGATTTTTCTCTGTGATCATGGCAAAGTCATTTAACTTCTCTGTTTCTTAGTTTCCACATCACATGGTTGATGTAAAGATTCAACTGCTCTTTCAACAGTGGCTAATATATAATCAATCGCTCAAGAGATTTTAGCTGTTATTATTCAAAGACAATGAGCCAGGGTTGGAGGAAGGTAAGATTCTAAGGCCTGATGCCTTTCATTCTGTTATCTCCCAGCTCACCTCCTAGGAATTCATGACAGACTCCAAGGAATGGGAATAAACAAAAAAAATGAAAACCAAAATAATCATTTCCTAAAAAGTTTTAGCTCATGAGAAGAAAAACGAACAAAGACAAAGGGTCTTGCATGGCAGGTGATGACACTAGTGTCCTCAACATTAGTCAACAAGTTCATCTTTGATGTTATCATTGTTTAAAATCAACCATGACCCCTTGAGTTGACAGCTAATGACCTAAATGCCTCTTTGACATCCCAACAAAGCTGGATAGAAGGAAACGTAAGATAAAGTGCAAAGAAATATTCCCCAAAATTCTAAAGACGTTTAGAGGGACTATTTAAGGGGATAGGGCTGTGGGGTAGGACTAGAAAGAAATAATATTTTGTGGTCCTTATTTTATTGACAGGAGATTATGATTTCCAGATTTCAGGTGGTGTGAATGGTGATTTGCTATAAAACTTGAGAAATTGATTCATTCAACAAATATTTATTGAACAGTGGCAATATGCCAGGCATTGTTCACCATACCAATAAAGGTCAGATAGATTGTATTGTGGTAACAAAGAAGCCCCAAATCTCACTGATTTACAACAATATATATCATCCCTCATTTATTCTCTGGCTCTCTCTCTCTACGGTCAATGTTGGCTCTCCTCCATCATCAATGTCATTTAGGAAACGCAGACAATTGAGGATCCTCTGTGTTGTACAATGACTGTCTCATGATAGAAAGAAATGGTGAAGCATGCGCTGAATCATAACCCTTCTGTGCTGAAGTACCTGTCAGTTCCTCCCATGACCGTTCCTGAATTCACCAGACTGGAGATCCATACATAATCTCTTATAGAGTGAGTCACCAGGGGCAATAAATAGGAATATTGAGCAAACAGCAATGCAATCTAGTTTGCATTGTTATCTGTCTTCTAGTGGTCTTATAGTTTACTATCATTTCATTTGGTCATATTAGTCTTAAATATGATACTAAATGGAGTGAATATTCAGACATCAGTGAAAATACAAATGTGATAATACAAAGTCAGTATGCTTTAAAGGTTTAGTTGCCTCAGGCTATTTGGAATTGAGGATCTGATGAGTTCAGGGCGCTTGGATTCAGAAACAACTCCAGATTCTTTCATCATTCCCCAAAGGAAAAGCAGTAATAAGTAGGATACCAGACATTTATGCAATCTCTCTGAGATCATAAAGACTAACAAAGGGAATGCTTTCAAATGCAAAAACACTTTACAGTTTCTTTGCAATAGACATTATTCAGTAAATACACACAACAGTATTCATGACCTGGAGACATACCACCTTGGATTGTGATCCTGGCAGGTATCATATATTCTACAAGGTTGGACAGGTTAAAATTTTACAGGAAAGGCCTTTTTGGAACACACAAGGATTATAAAAAGTATAGCGTTATTTCAGATGTGATTCTATTCTGTGGTGGGTTTTTTTTTTGTTTGTTTGTTTGTTTGTTTTTGGATCAGTGACCCTTCCTAACTACACATAGAATACTTTTTATTCAATTGCTTTGGTCAATTTATTTTCAGCCATCCTGGTTTATATAACTGAATTTACCTTGCCCTTTACTGCATTTAGGTAGATGGAATGGTCTTTAGACTTCTGAAACTATTTGTAGACCTTTGCCTTCACATGTTTGAAATAAATGTGAGGCATTAATTTTAGTCAGACAACACTGAGCCCTATTCACTTGGGAAAATGCATCTCAATGTGTAATTTATCATCTAGGACCTGTCCACTAGTTCGTTACTCCCTGGGAGTAAATTAGGCACTTTGAAAGGTGCATTAAACTCTTCCTGGCTACTAGGTACCATTTAGGGCTGTGAAGCAATAATTTACCTAATGGTACCTTGGTGACCTCAAAAAGTTTACGTTGTTTCGAAAGTTTCTAATTTTCTTCCATGAAATAATTTATGCACTAGGAGGTTGAGTATGCTTATAAATATGTTTCCAGGGAGGCAACAGCTATTGACTAGAATAAATAAGATAACATTGTCATGCTGATGCAGAAATGAAATGTTTCATGAGTGTGTTATCTATACTATCCATGGAATAGATGTACAGCTCGCAAAACAATTTATTTCTTTGGATTTCATTTTTTTTCCATGTACAAGACTGCCTTGCATTTTATTGTAATTAGTAATGCTTCATTGCTATAAGGATTTCCAGATCCACATCACTGCATTTTTCCATAGTACAAAACACATTTATCCAAAGTTAGAATAATATGCTAAATATACTGAAACTTCTGACAGCAACTTACATTCTGCTTATTCCTTCCATTCACAGCAGAGCTTCATCCATATTAAATGAATTGGTTGTTAAGTTTTGATACCTCCTACTTCAGTCAGTCTCTTATTTATTAAAATGCATCAAATTAAGCTTGATCCACCAAGTCAAGTAAAAGTGATGTGCTTTGGATTTTGCCTCCATTTGGGGGATAGAATTACTCATATGAAGAAATACAGCATTTATCAATTCTAGGATGCAAAGATTTTCACATTTTAATATTTCTAAAATTTGGCTATGTCTTATAATTGATAGTGTGTGTGTCTAAATGAATTTGGTAAGGTTTTTGTCTTTCTTACTCTCATAAAATGATGTACGTCTTATACTCAATGGCATGTTAGATTTTTGAAATTTTAGGAAAGGACAATTTACTTTGAAAATATGAAGATAAAGACTCAAGTGAAAAGAATTCTAAAAACAGAAAAATATTGTCATTTAGGATGACAGAAGCTGATAGTGTTTTCATATCCATTTCAGTCACTCTGAGGATGAGTTTACCACCACTACCCAGTTTTTAAATATTTGAATGGGGCAGACACTGACCATTTTATGGAAGTAAAATCCATGTGAAATTTTATATGCCATAATATATATGCCCTAATAGAGAATTAGAAATGTTTAAACAATAATTAAAGTTTATTCTTATTACTCCCCAATGACTGGAGAGTGAAATGGTGACTCACCAATGAACCCCAGCTTTTGGGAGAAACACTGACCCAAAAAAACTAAATGTTTACAACTAAAATATTTTCTTTTATCAGAACAAGACCTGAAAGGGAATGTCTCTTTCAGAATAAGTCCACTCAAATAGTTTCAATTGCATCTACGATGGATCTCTTTGGATGGAATGCTAAGTTCATAAGTCAATGGCAATAGGGAGGAGAAATAGTTTCAAAAAAAAAAAGAAAGGAAGAGTGCAAATTTTACAACTTATTAAGATATAGAATTCCTGAATCTATATCCTTGATGTTATCCTAAATGCTAAGAAGATATGTGCTTAAATGTTCTACACATTTTCATTAACAAATACTAATAAATGGACAAATGTGCTTTATTCTCACAGTAAAATGTGATGCTCATTAGAATTTCCTTGCTGTATTATCTTAAAGCACCAGTATATGACTAGGAATCCCACTTCTAATTTACAAAATGTCAAAATTCCAAAATGTGATTTCATGAATATGCAACACCAAGCTCCCTGGACAAAGAGGCCCTTTTCAGGAGGGATTTGATTCAAATGTAAACAAGTAACTAAGACATAATTAGATTTTAAATTAGAATATATATAGTTGAATACTTTTTGAATTCATGCTTGAAGTCCACCAAATCAACAACTATACAACAAGAATTTATCTGTAACATACATATCTCCATAGGGTAAACTCAATTTTTTTTTTCTGTGAAGGGAGTTAAGATAGGAGAAAATGATGGAAGGTTCCGGAGACTTTTCTACTATTTTAGACAACATCAAAACACAATTTAAGGGATCCCTGGGTGGCTCAGCAGTTTGGAGCCTGCCTTTGGCCCAGGGCGTGATCCTGGAGATCCAGGATCGAGTCCCGTGTCAGGCTCCCTGCATGGAGCCTGCTTCTCCCTCTGCCTGTGTCTCTGCCTCTTTCTCTCTCTCTCATGAATAAATAAATTAAATATTAAACACACACACACACACACGCACACAATTTAACCGTGAAGTTGAGACTATTGGATGATTCAAAACTTTAATAATATTTATACACCTACAAATTGTGTAATTGCCTGAAATTACCTGAATATCTTTTTTATAATCTTTAAAATTATAGAAATAATTAGCATGATTTAGAAAGTTTCAATTTAATTGAAAATTAGAGAAAGAACTATAACCATATTTTTCTTTAGGATTCACTTCTTTTGACTATTTTGATCTATTTTTACCTTATGAGTTTTGCCAGGGTGTGGTGGCACTCAGCAAAGGCTATTCAGTTTGAAAAACATGACATCTGAACTCTTATTTGCTACTCATTATGTTAGTTCTTTGAACCTCAGTTTCCACATCTATAAAATAATGTTTATTTTTATAGTTATTGATAAGATTATATGAGCTTATGTATATAAAGCATGAGACACGCAAAGTATATTAAATCACTGGCTACTTAAAACAAGTCCATAGTAACTGAAGAGTAGTGGTAGCTTACCTTATAATAGTTCTTTGGGGATCCCTGGGTGGCGCAGCAGTTTGGCGCCTGCCTTTGGCCCAGGGCGCGATCCTGGAGACCCGGGATCAAATCCCATATCGGGCTTCCGGTGCATGGAGCCTGCTTCTCCCTCTGCCTGTGTCTCTGCCTCTCTCTCTCTCTCTGTGACTATCATAAATAAATTAATTAA